TTCTCTTTAGATGATACTTAACACATAATTTTCTAACAGATAACCATCATCATCATGATCAACATTTCTATCATTTCACTTAATATAGTAATCTACAAATAATCATTTGTTTTTTTATTATAAATAACAAATCATAATCAAATTGAATGAAGGTTATGAATCAACAAATAAATCATTTTGTAAATATATCTAACTGTAAAATAAACCTGTATTTACATAGATTTGTTTAGTTGTAAATATCTAGGATAATGAATTGAACAAGAAATAAAGTAAAATATTTATGAGCAACCTTGTAAAATTTAATGTTATTTAACGTTACTTATTAGTAGACTGTACTAACATTAGAGCTGATGATCTTAGCGTTTATTATTGTTTTTTAAATGACAATCAAGTTGTTGAAATCCATCTTCATTTGTTCAGTAAATCTATAATTTTAATAATCCAAAGAATAACAGATTTCTTTCGTTAGACTGTAATCTACTCATATAAGCAATAGGATCTGGATCCATTGGTCAACAAACAAACCACTATGATTGTAAGTAAATCTAGATTGTAAGAATTTGAAATAGGACTGGCTTACGTTAAATACTGTGAGTTCATATTTAGTCGAAATAACAAGGTATCTAAAAAATCAGTGCACCTGTAAATGTTATCCTATGATTTAAATGTATAAATTTAGTTATAAGAGAATCAATGTAATGAATTTTCGGATAATGTTAAACAGGTTTTGTAATATTTTGCAGTTCAATCTTTATAAATTTCCATTGAACTGCTTGCGAGGAAAAATCATCAGTCATCTATTCCAAGATCAACTTTATAATTCTAAGATCGTTTTCAAAAGACTAATAGTCCTATTTCACATTTTTTAGAAATGAATTTTCAAAACTGGTTTGAGTAGTCTTATTCTTGATTTGTAACTATTCAATGGACTGATGAGGATTGGCGGGTAGTACAATGAACTAGTAAAATTTCAATAAGAATGGATCGAAAAACCGGTAAGCTCAGCCATTAAGTCTATTAATTAACCTGACCATCGACGACTCTACGGAATAGGAGTTCAGCTATCAAAATAGGCAACTGAATATATCTTTTTACGAAGTCATATTTCATTTAATTTGGTATTTGGCTGGCATAGCAATCCCGGATGTTCATTTCGTTTTATTTGGGGATTAATTTTACTAATTGCTTTCTTCATATCAAACATGCTACAATCGTATAACTAAAGGTTGTATCGAACCACTTCACTCAGGATGATAACAGAGACTGACGAATATAAATATCAGCAACAGAAATTTACAAGACCATACTAGTGAATCTGTATTTGTTCAGTGTTAAATATGTTATGATTGACAAAAATGGAAAATCGCCCCCTAATTTCTGATCTTCAATTTCATCAATCTTTGCTTATATATTATCCGAAAATTAATTTAGTCATACTATTCTGGTTAATTACTCTTTAAATTAACGATAGTTTTGACTCTTTAAAATATTCAAATAGTTGACCAGTTGTCATATCTTGTAAATTCCACTCGGCTCGGATTTATTTATCGGTTAGTAAGTGAAATAATCAGTTTAATCATTTAAGTATCTTATTAAATCAACCGATCCTTTATAGTAATGTATTAGTCAGAAATTATTTTATTCATTGAAGCATGTAATTTTAAAAGATGATGTGGTTTGTGCTACTGATGTTTATAGATATAAGTAGAATGTATCATCAATCGAAAGTGAAATACTTGGCTTCAGAAGGTTAAGGTCAAAGAAAAGAGAACCAGAACAGAGAATGATTACTGTGGAAACGAAGGAACAATGAATTCTGAGACGATTGTCTGGTATTTTGCAAATGAAGTATTTACTGTATGGTGCTGAAATTTCGCTAAGACGTTCTGTAATTTATGTGTTTAAATACATTCGATTGTCCCCACTTCTGTTCCCGTTCACTACAATACTTTTAAATCAATCCATCTGTCTAAAGAATAGATTTAACTTTTTTGGTTATAAGTCATTACATTTAAAGTATGCTGGTGAATTTCTCGGAACGCAATCAAATAAAACAATAAAATCGTTTTAACAAATAAATGATAAGATTAATTTTTATGTATTTAAAGCAGAATAAGACATGTTAAGCTAAACAGAATAAGAAACATAATTCTATTTTAAACTATACTTATTAAGAATTCTTAAAATTACAAATAGTTTTATCTGCAATCTATTAACCATTAAGGTAATTCCTTAACATTCAAAAGTCAAGTTGGATAATGTGCGGTTCATATTGTGAAGTCGTCATTTCTTTTAGTCACCAAAGGACTCTTCAATGGTCCATAAGAATATTCAATCAAAATACTGACAAAAGTGGTAGAGTGTATCAGTATATAGTATAAAAAGTAATAACAATTATGTTGTCAAGTGCTTGATTATTAAACTTATTTGTTTTAACATTAAATATTTTCAAGTCAATCAATTTTAACCAAATGATTATAATCAATTGAAGATGTATTATTCCCTTCTAATCAAGTACATATTTATTGTGAGGTTAAGAAGTATTACCATATCTGATAAATGTTATTCTTTATTTTGTAATTGATTATTATTATTATTATTATTATTATTATTATTATTATTATCATAAGACTTGAGATCATATTGTTACCCTCAGCAATTTTCGACAAAATTATCGAAAATAAACTTTCATACACATAGAGATGGCACATTATCAGCCTATTATCTTATCTAACAGTCAAGTTAAATTAGTTTTATCTTCTCATTGACATGACCGACAATAATTAAAGTTACTAGTCAAGTTTGATTATCATTGGTTAATGAACGAATTGAAAAGAAAAATTAAATTACAAAGGTACCACTGCTTTATTACTTTTAGCCATGTTTATTTACTGTTATTTATTTTGTACATAAATTGTTTCAATAGCAAATGTACTACTGTTTGCAATAATAACTATATATATATATATATATATATATATATATATATATATATATATATATATATATATATATATATATATATATATATATATATATATATATATGTTAGAATTAAATAGTGAAGGATTCATGGAATTAAACGGTGATAAGACAGGTTACATAATAATTGAATAGAGTTTGAAAAGTTAACAATTTAAGAGGGTAAGTGGGCGGAAACGTGTGAATGAAAAGTTGGTTTAAGAATTCGGTAATGGGGGAGGAAGATAACACCAAATAAATATTTTAAAAATAAATAAATGAATATAATAACACAAATAACCAAAAAACAATAAAACTTAAATAAAAATGGATTACCAGGGTAATAATAAGTTTACTACTGTCTCTTTTTGAATACATAAATCTGGTTTAAGTTTTTTTGTCGCGATCGCCTCAGCAAAACGGATTGCGTATTTCTTTGTCTACTGACGATTTTAAAAGCGTGTGGAATGTCGATTGTATGCCCGGTGTCAAGTAAATGCCGAGCTATTGCACTGTTGAGAGCCGTAGTCCGTCGCAGCTTCAAGTTTTTTGGAACATGCTCAGAAATGCGAACATATATATATATATATATATATATATATATATATATATATATATATATATATATATATATATATATATATATATAGTTATTATTGTAAACCTTTGTCATCCCAATCATTTACACTCATTTATGTCAATTGTTTCACACTATTTCTTATCTCAATGTAAAATTCTATTACATATTTGATTGTAAGCAGCTGACGAGTAACCTCAAAATATTATGAATTCATACTATTCTGCATCAATATTTGTTCTTACTACCTTTCAGTCATACCTCGTGTTTTATCACTGTTTAATTGTAAACTTATCACTAATAATTTGACCTTTCATAAGTAATCATAATTGGATTATATTTTACATTAATCTAAACAATTGGTCTCGTTAGCATAAGCATAAATTATTTTCGCTCTATAACAGCCTCCCACCTTCAAAATAATTTTGCCACTGTAAACCACCTTCTCGAACTTTCCTCAGTTTTTTTTTAGGCGAACTGTCAATTATTTTGTAAGATTAATTTAAGAGTACTAGCATCAATTGTTAAGTAAACAGGATATTCAAGTTCTTGTCAAGACAACTTAAAATGACTAATAAAATTATTGAAATTAATGTAACGGTCGAACTACTAACAGATTACACATAAAACCTGTTCACGATTCTCAAACTAAGTCGTTAAGACGTAAATTATATACCCAAATAACTGAGTATATTATGAAATTTAGAATTTTAATAAGAAAATCTTCTGGAAAATTGTTTTTCACAATATTCTTTGGAACTACGCACTCACGGTTCAACAAGGAATCTTTACAACCATTCTCATAAGATAACAATTAACATAGGGAAGTTGTAATGCTTTTTTTAAAAAAAATTATAAATACTCAGATTATTATACACATGATCTGTAAATAATTTACATTATTTTATGTACAGCTTGAAATTCAGTTGGGTTATTATTCTTATTATTACATAAAATTTACATTAGTGGGAAACAATTATGTCAGCTAAATGCATCAATAAAAGATACATATGGAAAAATACTGATTGATACATAAAATAAAGAAAAAATAGTTCAGCATAGCGTATTCTCCTTTATGTATGAACTCAAACTCAAAGCAGTACAATCGAAGTTATTAACTTTGTTCTCATAACGATAACAAACAGTATAGTTTCTATTCATTCACTTATTGTGATAACAGAGAATCTAAAAAACAGAGACACAGCATAAATGTTAGTTTTCATTGGGGAAATGAAAATTTAATTGTCAAAACCTTGATTACCCACCAAGAAGTAAGACATAATAGATATGAAAAAGAACGTTTGTATAACATAAGATAACATGATGAAATAAAAATGAATCATAATCAGAAAGAGTTTTTGACCAGTAACAAGTTGGTTAGAGGGTAAAAGTGCAATACAGAAAGAAAAGGAAAAAGGATAGTGGCCTTGAAAAACTAAAGATATATTATATAAATAAGAAATCAAGCTAGGAGTGCTTCAACTGAAAAAGGATTAATTTGTTTACTGGAAGTATTTTTATTTGACAATGAATTGGAATAATGAATTGCTTCATTAGTAGTATTAGTAGCTGTAGTCGTTATTACATTTGTATCATTAATTATTAAGTGATTATTCATAGAATCATTGAATTGTACATTTGAAACATTGTATACTTGTTCATAGTGCATCTTCTCATCACATGATATTCTGTAATGTTTACTTGTTTTAAACACATTATTGATATGTTCTGAATAAATGGATAACTGTTGTCGATCTAATTCAGATGATGAAGGATTTTGTTTTAATAAACAAGTTACATGATCATTAGTTGAATAATTGGAACTTTTAATTGAATTTTGTAGTTTATCATTATTTATCCGTTTATTACTGATTATTTTTGTCTGGCGAATATTTTTATGATTATTATCTATTCGTGGTTTATGCCAACGTTGATGTGATGCTAAATTTGCTGGACAATTGAATACCTGTATAAGATATAAATACAAGATAATGTATATAATTGTATGGAAAGGGAATTACACTGTACAAATAAGTTTGTAGAAATGAAAAAAGGCTTCCCCTCTATTCATATGAGATGGAATTAATCAATTAATTCTTTTTAGGTATATTGTAAAAGACAAAATAATCTCTGAATTTCTACATCTTCATTTCAACTGTAAAATATCAAAAATGACATTTACTGAGGACAGAAATTGAGTAAGTAACTTAACTATGGCTTAATTATTTGGTTAGCTAAAACACTATCATAATACAGAATTACTTTCTCATTATATACATTGAAAGCGGTTAGAATTCAAAATTTAATAATCAATTATATCAACTATTCATTGTAACAATGAACACAATCTAATTACTTGGCTTCATAGACATATATAAAATCAATTTTTATCAAGGACTAATATCACTTAAAGAATAATCCAAAACTCACCTTAGATCATTTATTAATGTAAACCTAAGGTTCTAGACTAGGTCAAACTCAGTCAGTTGTGATCATAGAGTGTACATGATACTTTTGAAGCACTTAGCATCTGGTAATACATATGTGAGAATTCAATCAATATATGATGTCGAACGATCTTTAAGTAATGTTACTGACAAGTTATTGTCTACATTGGTTTGTTGACTCCGAAAGTCACAGTATATCATAAAAGATTCTGAATGTCCATTTCAATATAAGTAAATAGTTAGTGTATATTTATTATTGGATTAGGTCTGTTGTCGAGACGTCTATTTTTTTCATCTGATATCACTTAATGGCAAATATTATCTTTAGACAAATATTCTTCTATAGATTTATGTACTGATAACGATTTATAATGAACAGAAAGTGTCTAAGCATAATAATAGCAACTGAAAAATAGGTATTAATTTGTATTGCAGGTTGTTTAACACATACAGTCAAAACTTTTTAAATTGGAAAACGGTTCAAAATTATGAACCACTGGCTGAAAACTAAAGTTTCTCTATCACTAACCTTAATTTGAACTACAAACTCAGATATCAACATAATTAGCGTAGTTATTAAAACATATATCCACTTTAACTGAGTAGTTCGTTTGGTGTCATAAGACATATAACCTATAAATAAGAGTAGTATCTTTGAATAAAATTGAATGGTTTTATAATTGGGTGTTTACTATCTGGCCTAATAGTATAGTTCTTAGTATTATTTGATAAATTACAAAAGTGTTTAATGATTAGAATAATAATAGTTACTTACTTTACCACAAATTTCACATGCATATGCTAAACTTGCCATACATGAACATGGATGTTCAGCTAAACAAAATGCATCTGGAAACCATTGAAAACATAATTGACAAATATATTCTCCAATATGATTTGGTATTTCAGCTAACATTTTGACTGCTTTTTCTGTACGAATTACTGTAAAAATATTCTTATTCGTATTATTATTATTATTATTATTATTATTATTATTATCATTATTACTGTTATTTTTGTTTGTATAGAATTGATTGAATTCAGTTAATTTATCATTCGTATTCATTTGTGACAATTCACGTGGTATAATATAAACACCATTAACTGGTGATGTTAAATGTTCATTAGATTTTAACTTCATTTTCGTTTTCGGCATTTGAGTTAAATGTTTAAATGAATCTATGAGCATATATTGATTAGTTTGAATATTAGACATAGAAATATTAATTTTTTTTATTATCAATCATTGTAATATCCATACTCTTTAAGGATCTGTCTTTTTTTAAGTTTAGATAAAAACCATGTTTTACCATAGAACTCATTCCTGTGTTGTAACTCATTTTGATATGATATAATATTCAATGTTTGATGAGATTTTAAATGAAAGTTCTACGATAATTAAGTTAAATACAAACAAAAAGAGTGAATACCAAAAGAAAATCCTTTTTTTTTCAAAAAAATAAGGGACAGAATATTGATATATTATAGGATCGAAAGAGTTGAATAATTTACTTCATAAAGAATGATAGGTGATGAGAAAAAATTGAAAATTACTTAGATTGGATAATTCACCAATCATTGTCAATGAGTTTTCATATACATACCTCTCATTGCTATTATTGAGTGATCTATTTTTGTAATAATAAAGTAATCCGATAGGTGGTCAAATAAAATTCTAATAGAATGCGATGTTTCAACATGCCTACTTTTTCGCAGTAAGTAAAAATAAATAAATTATATTAAGGTTAGATTGGATAAAAATTGGGTTGGAGTAAAAATTAATTGAACAAAGGTTCACAAAAATCAAGGGGGGGGGTAGACTATTCACATAAGTGATGATAAATTGTCATGACATGTGGTCTATTTTTTTCCTATATATAATAAAACCTGAATTTAAATCCTCAAGGGGATCAGGTTAAAAATAAATAAATAAAATTTCAATTTATATACTAAAACTCAAAATTACAATAATATATCTGAAGGAAATTATTAACCATAAATTTTGGGTTAACTGAATTCATGTCATTTATTAGGATCTATTGAAGTGGATATCTCTTTTGATTCGGAACTAATATATACGTCTCATTATCTTTCTTATTATGTACAATTTAGGATGTAAAATAAACTTTCTTTATATCATCCACGAGAGTTAATTTCAGTAACATTTGAGTCAATTTAAACTGGTAGATTAGTAATTTGTTGAAATTTTCGAAAGTAGGTTAACGTTAAAGGCCTAGTTGGATCCAGGAAAGTTGAAATTATTGAAAATAATGGACACAATAACTTATTATTGAATCAAATAATGATTTACTGAAGTGGCTTGTTAAATAGTTTGTATAATTACTGACTAATGTTTTTATGAACTAATATCAGTTAAAATGATTAAAATCAAGGTTCAAGTTAGCTCTTTTTTATAGTTTGACTATGATGTATTATGCAAATGGTTATGTTCTAACTAGATGACTGAATGTTGACATGTTTTCAACAAACTCTAATGATTTTCTATCACAGTTCTTGTGAGGACATTAACTTTGATATCAGAAAAGTCATCATTCAGCACGAACACAACTGTTCAGTGTATTTTTTTATTTAATTACTTTAATTCTTTTTAGTTTTAGAATAAAATCAATTATAAAGAATTTTAATGATTGGTAAATCTCTTAAAATAACTAAGTAGAGTAACATGAATCAATTGGATATAATGATATAGATAATAATAAGTTAGAACTTACTTACTTTCGCCTGTTACTCCCAATGGAGCATAGGTTGCCGACCAGTATTCTCCAATCCATTCTGTCCTGGGCCTTCTTTTCTAGTTCCATCCAATTACTGTTCATTTTTCTCATATCTATCTCCATTTCCCGGCGTAATGTGTTCTTTGGTCTTCCTCTTCTCCTTTGGCCTTCAGGATTCCATGTGAGTGCTTGTCTTGTGACGCAGTTAGGTGCTTTCCTCAATGTGTATCCTACCCACTTCTAGCGCTTCTTCCTGATTTCTTCCTCCTCTGGGATCTGGTTTGTTCTCTCCCACAGTAGGTTGTTGCTGATGCTGTCTGGCCAACAGATCCGAAGTATTTTGGGTAGACAACTTTTAATGAACATTAGTGATTCAAAACGTCTACAATATGCCGTCTTTTTCACTTCGTTTCATAATATTATGTAAAGATACTTAATTCTTTAGCACATTTAATACCTATTTTATCATATTATAATGTACTTAATTATTTTATTTCGTTTCATTGAAACTCTATCATGAACTGAAATATTGTTTTTTTTCTTTATTTGGCCATTAAAAACAGTGTGAGCAAACACTTCCTCGATCACAAAATCAAATACATGAACTTATTGTACAGTATAGAAACCATAGCTTAATATTTACAGACACTTCAGTAAATATATTTAATGATTGCAAACATAGTCATCATCTTGGTAAACTTCTTATCTTTATTGAATATTTGCTGAAGTAAATGATAATAATTCATTTGTGAATGAGAAAATTTAAGTTTTTAATGGTGTTGAATTCTCTGAGCTAGTTCTAAAATTAATAAATCGTTGGAAATCTGAGAATGTCGGAGAACTCCTGGAAGCATAGAATTCGTGTTGATTTGTAGTAATTAAGCACATGGAAATAGACCTGATCTATCAACCTATACAAAAAATGGTCAGTCAACTACATGATCAGACGTCAGTCGAACGAGACGGTCGAGTTGAGTACAAAGACGAATGAAGAAAAACCAAATCTACGGAGACAACCGATTATAAACAAGGTCACCAGAACTAACTGTTTTAGCGCTTGTATAATAACTAATATATTCACTTTTACATAAATTAGGCGTTAATAATATTGTTCAGAATGACAATGAAAGCTATGGAATTAAACCTTCTCACTCAGAAAATATAACAACACTGAAAGCATCCACGCAAGCTGCAAATGGTCCCCACCACTTGAAAAGCTTCGACTTTATTAATGTCTTCAAAACTTATTTATTTTAGCTAAATGACCAAATAGTGTACACAATCCGTTATCATTTATTTATTCTATATATACAGGATGAAATGAGTGGAGAATTACAATAAAATGATTGAGTATAGTGTGAGTGTGTGTTGACATACTATTATGTAAGAAACTTTTAACAGAATATAAAGAAACATTTTATCTCCCATCTGATAATATAATTTATCAACATTAGTGAATAGTACCGACTACATTTATCTGTCATTATTACTATTGTGTATTTAATTAGACACGTTATTGACAATTATCTGAAATATGAGAAATCACTAAATTGAATGAATATGGGAAAGAGAAGGGGAAGAAAAGCAAACTCAGTGTTTAAATAAAATCAGTTTCATCATCTTCATTGTCACTAGCATTACTAGTCTTCAGTTATTCCCTTCTTCTCCCCCCTGTTCTCCTTCCCCTCTTCTTAATCCATTTTCGCTTCTACCTTTCTTATGTCTTTAATTATCTCTTTTGAAGTTTAATATTTGAGTGATGTTATTTACTCCTACTGTATATATATAAATATATGCCTAATGTTTGTGGGTATGCACAAGCTTAGATGCCATGAATCATAAAATAGAGAGAACAAGACAGACAATATCACTTGTTACTTCTTTTCTGTCAGAAATTTTCACCAAATGAAAATATAAATTGTTAGATAGGTTTACATATTTTAGTGTTATAAATATCTACTCAAAAGAAAAAGTTGACCAGGTGTGTTCATTAATATTTATTACATGTGAGTCAGTTACCCACAGAAGATAGTCGCGCGATGTCGTCGATTAATTTAAATTAGACATCAACACCGTTTGATCCCAACTCAGAGATCTAGAGGCTTAATGTCCGAGAGCGAGACAAGTTTTGGGTTAGATTCCCGTATGCGGAGTCATAAATAAGCACTGGTGAGAAGTCCCACACTAAGATGGAACAGCCATCTAACGCTTCCAAGTTTTTAATTGTAGTCTTACATTGATCGATTCATGATCTTGATGAAATTGAATCGTCTCCACAACATCATACACGAAATTACTATCCACTACCCCTGAGTATTTACAGTGATTATTTAATTAATATAAATTTGTATCAGAAGGGGATTTTGTGGATATTATAGTAATTTCAATAGTTGAGGTTATGAGTTAATTGAATCTAGACCACCATGGAAAACCTGGAATCACTGAAAGGCCATTTCATCCTAATGTAGGACTCCTCAGCAGTCCCACAATATAAATGTGTTATGATAAACAACAAGACAAACATTTTATTCTATGTCGAAAATTATTAAAAGATTTTTACGAAGTAATTTTTAAGCAAAGATGGATAGTGGCTAGCAGTGGAATCCAGGACGCGCGTTTCGTCCTATTTGGAACGTGTCAGCTGGATGTACCTGCATTCCAGAGTTGATGTTCAATCCAGGACTCGTACCCAGCACCGTTTGCTTCAAACGCTATCACGTTCTCCACTTGCCTACTGAGTTCTGATAGCCACCTGCTTGTGCAATGAGGTGAAGTTTAAATTCACTTGGTGTTGTTTTACTTGTATCTTCCCATAGTTATTTAGGACTGCTTAAAAAGCTTGTGATTTAAGGCTATATTGAGACAATTCACATAGGATACACATATGCCAACATGAGACTGATCAATTACAGTCCTAATCATCAATGAGACGATTCAAGTAAACAATACCAAGTGAAGTTACAAAATAATGTTCTTTTTTAAAGAATCAAACTGTTAACTAAAAACTTAATGTTAATAGATTTAAAATTAAAGAAAACAACAGAAACTCATATTCAACTTTCATCATATAAATACAATTCTAAACTATGGTGAAAGTAAATGCTGTAACTTCCCATAAGTAAATGTATGGTAATCAACATCATTAGAATTGTGTTTAAAATTTATGTATATACCAAAAACTAAATTGAAATATACATTCTTATTTTAATCTAATCTTCATTCTTTTACAGCGATTTAATCAGTAATATTATTTATTATGATTTTTTACAGGTAAACTAATTAATAAGTAGTATCTTATGTGACAAGGATATATTTGCATAAATTTGATAGATATATACATTAGGAAAATTCTTCGAAGACTCTTTATTATAATCAAGACAACATGGTCTTATAGGTCTATTTTGGAGACAGTTTTTAACAAATATGATCTAATTATATATATCAGTAGACAGATATTAGCATGATAAACCAAAATTAATTA